GCGCTGCGCCACCCGCCGCCCAGGCGCTCGCGGGACGGGACGAGGGCAGCCTGTCGGACGGCGTTAGTCCAAGCGGGCGGGTAGCCCAGAGCCCGGCGCGCAGCAGGACAGCAGGCGGCGCTGTATCGCCCCGGGGCGGGGCGGTGAGGTCAAGGTGCCAGGCTGCCCGCCCAGCCCCTGCCCTGGAGCGCGGCACCTTCCCGGCCGCTCCTGGGCTCCGTCCGTGCGCATGCGCGCTGTCCCCGTGTCCCCGACCTAGACTCCAGAGGTAACCACATTTTACCTGACCCACCCTTCCAAGGGCGCGTCTCCAAACGCAGCCGCGCTCTGACGGCCTGGGGGCTGAGACTCAGCGCGTGAGTTTCGGAGGGACAGAGTTCAGCCCTGAACATGAAATACTCCAGTTTCATCCTTTGGTCAAAATCCTCACCTGGGACCCGGGCCTTCAGATCTCTCTCCCTCCCTCCCTCTTCCCCCTCATCCTACTCCTGCGCCCCCTGTTTCTTACTCAGCCTCCCCTGCAGCGCTCCGTTTCCCTGCACCCCAGCCTCCTGGCTTTGCTCAGCCCTCGCTGGACCTCGCCCTTGAGCGGAGGAGCACACGTCCCGCTGTCAGAGTTACAGTCATACAGGACGTTTCTGACTCGCTTTTCAAGCTCAGTGGTCCCCCAGCTGCATTTTTAGAATATGACAGTCAAAGTAATTTTTTCTATCTGGCACAGAGTGATTTCTTTTGCCTGAAAACTAACTTCAAAACATAATCTCTGAGTTAGCCCAGTCCAAAAGCCAAGAACCTGTTCACGCTTTTCTAAATGCCAGGCAGGTAACCTTCAACAGCGTAAGTTCTGAAACCAAGGCCCCTGTTTTGTTTTCAGAAAGTGAATGGTCAGAATGACACACCTGCAGACAGAATCATGCCTTACAACTGTCCTGACCCTGGCGGAGTTGGGTGCGTGGCTGAGGGCAGCAGTGAGCCCGGGAATCGCCGTGCTGGGGCCAATGGGCCTGGGCTTTCTGGGCCCGGGTCCGGTGGATGGTGGCCCTGGCCTCAGCACCTGTGGTCCTGGCCAGGGTCACCCTGACCTGCCCAATGCAGCCGCCTGCTTAGTCCTCTGGTGTTTTGCCAGCTGCTGTCCCCCGGGACCTGCGGGGGGGAGGGGGAGGTTGGGGTGCTGGTGACTATCTACCTGCTCAGCCTGAGGATTACGCTGCACAAGGCCCTGCAGAATTCTTTGTGTTTCAGGACTGGGCTTGTGGCCCCAGCTCCTGTTTCTTTCCTCTCCCCTAATTGACGTCCTGTTTCTAATTTGTCACTAATTACAGCACCTGCAAGTGCCCTTGATGGCATCCGGGCATTGTGTGTAGGATGGGCCCTGGCTCTCGGGCACTCCTGAATGCTCAGGGCCCTGCGGGCTGGACCAAGCCTTGTCCACACGCTAAGCAGCCAGTATTTCTCCTCCTGACCCGAGAAGCTGAGCATGCAGGACGGGGCGTTGTTGCTACGCACGTGCGCTCCTGCCTGGCCTGCAGACTCCGGGGTGGGCCCTGGCTTCCCAACTCAGCCCAGCTTCGGCCTCCCTCTTCCCTCCCAGGAGAGTGCTGCAAGTGGCCCTGAGCACCACCGAGGCACAGTGGTTGTGCGTGTGTGGCATCCTCACTCCTGACACTACGGAGCCGAGGGTCTTTGGGGGACTTCCTTCCTGTTATCTTCAGCTATAATAAACACTTCTCTAGGGGGATTTTATCCTCAAAACACGGTGAGATTACAGTTAGGAATATATCAGTTTGATATATTGGGAATACATCAAACAGCTTATATTGTGATAAGTTATGAAAGGCAGTCCTCAAAATTGGACAGGGCTCTAGGAGTTATTTTTTAATTACTTTAATTTATCACACGTGTGTAGTATGTGCTGCTGCGTTCCTTGTGGGAAGTGGGTACACATCTTAATTCCTTTTCTCATCCCGCTCCCTCCCCCCACCCCCGCCTGCTGTGGAAGTCAGTATGGAGAGTGCCCACAGAAGCTAAGGCTAGAGATTCCGATTGACCCAGCCAGTACCCCTGGGTGTCTTCCCGAAAGAGTCAAGTGTCACACTGCAGAGGTGCGTCGCGCCCATGCTTTAGCGGCACAGTGCGTAGTACCTGGGTGTTGGAGGTGGCCCTGTGTCCACTGGCAAATGAGCCAAGAAAATGTGCTTTGCGCACATGGGTGCTGCTCTGCCCTGACAAAGGCAGATCTGAGTGGTTGGTAGGAAAATGGGCCCACCTCGAGACCGTAATGCTAAGTGAAATCAGTGAGACACACGCAGTTAAGTATCACCTGGCTTCCTGTCTATGAGTAACCAGAATGAAAATAAAGAGCAAAATAAAAGATAACAGGAAGTAAGGCAACAGGTTTTTCTCAGAGGAGAAGGGGCCCTGTGTGGGTAAAATACTTAACCATCTTCAAAGTAATTTGTTATATCTCCTTGTAGGTTTCCAAATTACTATAATAAAATAAAAACTCTAGGTTTTCTTTAAAGTAGCTTTATATTTATTCCTGTTGTTTAGGGTTCTGTGCCTTTGCTGCTGGAGGGACAGGCAGCGAAGTCATCTTTCCCCAGGTGCCGGTGTCCCGGCATGGTCCCCTGGGGTACACCCTCTGTCGCCGCACTGCCCACACCTCAAAGCAACCTCCGACAGCTAGGACGGTCGCAGTGCTTCGGTGATCATTCTGCTCAGGAGTGTCTGGCAGCCCCACTGTGTGGCTGGCCCTGGACAGGAACGCTGCAGGAAGTCACCCACGGGCTGCCCACCGGACACTGAAGCCCCTCCTCACTGCCCTCCGAGGACGTCCCGGAAGCTGCAGGCTGCGCGGTCGTGAGTGTGTTCCCTGTGCTCTCTCTGGAGCCTGCTTTCCCTGAAACAGCGCTGTCCTCAGCCAAGAACCTCAGTGAATCATCCAGCCCGAAGCTGACCTGGGGACTGGACGATGCTCGCATACTAACGAAATAAACAGGAAAACTGGAACGCAGTTCCCGACACTAGGGGCGAAAACCTCACCTTTACCTGGTGGCAGTGACGCTGCGGTATTTGCAGGTCTTTCTCGATACTGGATTTCCCCCAACAGTCCGTGAAACATAATTCCCATCTCGTGGAAGGGGAAACCACCCCGGGTCTGAAGGAGCCTGGCGGGGTTGGTGTGAGTTCGTTGGCAGGGAAGCCCTGCACAGCTACAGGTCTGTGACGCGGTGCTGCGGCCATTTCGTCATTTCTGTTCCCGCTGTCACCCCCACTTTGGCCTTCCTTGTGAGACGGGTTCCAGCCTCTTTATTGTCTGGGCTGCATTCAAGAGATAAGACACACATCTGAGCTATTGTGGGAACATCGGGAATGTTCTCAGCGGTGCTGCCAAAAAGCAAAAGGCCGAGCCTTGACACGCTGTGCGCGCAGCGTGAGTGCCCTAACCGTGTCCTCCGGAGAACGTGCTGACAGCACGCAGCGCAGCCCGCGCCCCCCTCCACGCCTCGCGCTCGGCCGGCCCTGTCCTCACTGCGCACCCGCACCCGGAAGCAGGGCCGGCAGACTGCGTCTCTCAGACGGTCACTGCAGCATCTGAAATTCCTTTTCCCTCAGTGGTCCTCCAAACAGATGAAATCCACCGAGATGGAAATGAATGGGAGCTGAAGCTGTGGGCCTTGTGATGTTAGTATCTAGTGCCCGTGGGCTGAAGCAGCGCTTTAGTGCCAGCCGTGTGAAGAGTAGCCTCGGAAAGTGAGCGTCGAGGCTCAGCTTTGAGTCGCGTCTGTGGTCAGCTGCTGGCCTGAGACGGCTGCCTTTGAAACGCTCTAAGCTTAGGGCCTTTGGTTAAGTTTACAGACAGGAAGCCCCTGGGTCGCAGATCTCTGGAGATGCGCGGGGAGCACCCGCTCGTGCGGCTCGGGCATGTATTGGACTTCGGTTCCTTGGTGTGTAGCTGCACCGCAGACATTGTATGTAGAACTCTGTAGAGGCTGTTGTGGAGCTCACGCTCTGGGCTGAAGTGTCCACCTGAGGTCCACAGGCTGAAACCCCGCGACCGGATGTGGAGAGAAGACCCGGAGCGGTGCCCAAGGTGGATGTGGTCTGAGGGCCCCCGTCTAACCAGGTGGCTTCTTCAGACGAAGGGAGGAGGCAGCAGGGTGTGCGTGCACAAGGAAGGGCTGGCTGAAGACCCAGGGAAGGCGCCCGCGCCCACACGCTGGGGTCTGCTGTGAGCCACCCTGCCTGCATCCTGCGCTCCGGCGCCCTAGCTGACGACAGCTCACAGTGCACCCCAAGGTCCCCTGTAGGAATCGACAGAGCCAGCAGGAAGCCGAGGAAGTCTCCTTTCTCAGCCAGGGCCACATTCAATGACCGGAAAGCTCGGGATTCCACCTCACTCCCCAGCTGTCCGTTCTCATGGTGATGAATGGGGTGCATCGGGAGTGACCCTGGGGCTCCCCCATAACAGCTGCATTTGTGCTGAAACCTAAGTGAGGATGAGAAGCTGGACTCTGCTGATCTATGGTGCTGGCAGAGGCCCAGGGCAGGAGCAGGGGTCAGCCCAGGGCGGCCGGAGCAAAGGAGTGGACAGAGGGCCAGAGCCGAGGCCGGAGCGGCAGGCAGCATCCAGCTGGACCGTCAGACGCCATGGCCTTGGGGGCAAAGGCGAGAGGCGTGGGCTTGTGCGGTGAAGTCAGGAAGGGCTTGTGTGGGGCGCTGGGTTGTGATGTGGGTTTCTAAGCAGAAGCAGAGAACAGCGCTGGGTTTGGTTGGTTGGGGGATCAGCGATGCCAGCGCGACTGGGTGAGTAGGGATGGAGCACTGTGAAGTTTCAGACTGGGCATAAATCTCAGAGCCAGTTGCAGAGGCTGATAGGTCGGAGGTGGGAGGAAAGAACGGAAGGCGATGCCGGGGCCCGAGTCTGAGCCTCAGAAGGGTGGCGGGGCCGGTGTGCCAGCACCCCCGCGGGAAAGAGGGGGACCCGCTCAGCTGACCTGCTGGCTCTGCTGGGAGGGCTTGGGTAGGAAGCCCCTGCCTAGGCATCCCCGGAGGCTGAGTGGCCTTTGTTCCACAGTGAAGCAGAGGCGAGGATGGACACAGCCACGAGGGGCTGGTGCTCTCCCAGCCCTGAAACTCAGCGCTTGTTTTGAGGAACATAGACAAAGCCCCCCCCCCCACCCCCAACTTCCCGCATGGTCTTTTTTTTTTTTTTTTTCCCCCGCATGGTCTTAAACTCTGCACCATCTCATCAGCCACCCTGGGCTGTTGGCAGTGGGAATTTTAGTGGAAGAAAGGGACTTGCCCATCGTGCTGTAAAAAGTCCATGCTGGCAGCCTGTCGGTCCCATACCCTAACGAGAGGCCGCCCAGAAGTGTGGTTAGTAAACTTCAGCTGTGCGCAAATGTGTGCCGAGACTTGTTCAGTGCAGTTGTTTTAAAGAAGGAAAGTTTTCTGTCCCCTGATTCGCATTTCGTGGAGTTTTTCTCAGCCTGTCTTTCCACTGGTGAGAACTGGCGTTGCTCTCGCTTCTGTCCCACAGTCACACTGATTGGGCGTTTGAGGATCATTCTTGTGTAGTGACGTTGCAGACGGATGTGGAGAGAAACCGTCTTCCTGTGTGTTCACATGGGGAGCTTGGAGAGGCGGGCGCCCGAGACACGGCTCTCCAGCTGCCAGCGGTCACCCCACCACGGATGCTGCCACCGCACTGTCCCAACACGGCACCTCGTGGTGCTCCCGCGGCGGTCCCTCCTCACTGGTCACAGCGCACCACGGTGTGGGCAAGGTGCAGACTGTGGCACGGGACCTCGGAGTGTCTGCTCTTTTCCAGACTTAAAACCCATCACTCCTCTGGCCCACCTTTTCTACAGTGCAGTGACGGACAGATGGGTGGAGGCATGGCTGGCTGTGGGCATTCGTGGAGGGCGATCCTTCTTTCAGTGGTCAAAGAACCCCAACGACAGAGAAGGCCACAGGGGCCTCCAGTCTAAGCTTCCTGAAAGTAATATGAAAGTGGACCTTCCAGGTTGAAAACAAAGATTTCCATGGAAATAAATATATAGCAGCACAAGCTTGTGGGTTTGTTTTTATGTAAACAGAGGGTTACATACTGTGGTGAGTTTTCATCTAACTCACCTAGCAATCCTTCCAGCTTAACCCATCTGCAGCTTTTGCCTTCCCTTTAACCCTTGGACATTCTGGGATAAGTTTATGTGCGCCTTTCTGTGGACCACATGGGTTATTTCATCTTCTGCTGTTTGAAACTCCGTGTGTGTGTGTGTGTGTGTGTGTGTGTGTGTGTGTATGTTCTGAGACACGCAAGTTAGTCATTAGAGATTACCTGATCCGTAGATGCTCTAGCCCAGTGGTGGCAAACCTGTGGCATCACATGTTGTTTTTCCTTTTAAGGAGACAAAAGATACTAATCTGTGAGTTGTTTTTTCTAAACTAAACCTCATATTCAGGTTTAATTGCAGTTTGGGCGCTCAGTCTCTAAAAGGTTCACTGCTCTCCCCGAATCCCAGGTAAGAGTGTATTTCTGCGAAACAGATTCCCAGGAGTGGAATCGCTGCTCACAGGACGTGTACTTTACATTGTGACGCGTACAGCTGCACCAGTTCGCACTGTTAATACCTGCGTGTGCATTTCTTCCCCCAAAGCTTCGCCAGTGCCGGACATTGCCCATATGTTCAGTGGTTGATCCCATGAATTAAAACAAATAGCTCTCGTTATTTTACCTGCCACTCCCTGAGTACTAAGTTACCAAGGAGTGTGAAAATCTTAGACAGGGCACTTACATTTCCTGCATTTCCTACTTTTATCCCTTGCCTACTTTTCAGTGATCATTTTCACGTTGCTCCACGGCAGTACTGATGTGATATGCACACTAATCACATTAGCAGTGTTGTAAAAATCTCTGGTGCTTGTCTTTAATTTTGTTTGTGCTGTCTTCACTATTACTGAAGTTTTCATTTTTGCTATTTGTTATAAAATCAGCTACTTCCTTCCTCTGCAGTGTGTAAGTTTAATGCTTTTGCTGAGGAAGGCCTCTCTCATCCCCGGGTTTTAAAGTTGTCTCATGTGTGTCCTGTGTCGCTTATGAATGCTTCCAGCACTGACCTAGTGCAGTTTATTCAGCACGTGATGTGACGAGAGGACCGTGTTGTGTACTTCCCTGTGATTTATAGTGGCCCTGTGAGTCACCGTGAACCCCCACGTGCGGGCTTGTGTGTGGCCGTCCCCCCGCCCCTCTGTGTGTCCGTGTGGATCACGTCCAGGCTCACTGCTGTCTCCGTGCTATTCGTGCCGTCCTGCACAGTGGCTGCCTGGGTGTCGGACTGTCCGGTCCTCTCTCGTTACTCTTCCTTTTCAGAACTGCCTTCCTGGGTGTTTCCTCTTGCATATAAATTCTAGAATAAATGCATCCGTTTTCTCTTTTTAAAGTTTGAAATTTGTGGATTACCCTGACTTTTCAGACTTAGTAGAAAAGAAGGTTATTTTTTCTGCATTTTTTTTCTTACTCTCAAAAATGGCACCCAGTCAGAAATCTAAGTTTAAAAATTAAACCTACAGAGTTCTACAACCTGGAGGAAATTATGGCTGAATTGCTTTATAAGCTGGGTATAGGAAACGGGTTTCTACCTCTGACACAAAACCTAAGTCCAATAAAACAAAATATGCATATAATTTCAGTACACAGAAAAGAGAAAAACTTCTTCCCAACAAAAGTTTGCACAAGACGGCAAATGACAAACTGAAAGAAAGCATAGAGCACGTATCACAAGTAAAGGAGTAATATTAAAACATAAATCAGAATACCTACCTCATTATGGTGGGGAGACTGCAGCAGTGTGCTGGTACTCACAATACTGTTACAGTGCTATTATCTATAATATTACTATCTCTGAGGTAATTGTGTTCATATATGTTATGTACTTACACGTTCTGTACATGTGTTAGAGTTGCTTTCTAAAATCTGAGCGTCCCTGACCAGCTCAGACCCGAGTGGAAGTGGGTTTCTGTTGAAAAGAAACAGTTCTATTCTGAGATCATTTCTTAAGCCACAACTAAAATGAGCCATTTTTCCTGCCACTTTTTTCTGTATTCCTAGAATAAACTCATTTTTATTTTGTTCATCAGCGTGACCTCATTAGGCCCCTCAAGTGTCGCGGTGTGTAGTTACAGTTGTTTAATTGGGCAGCAGTGCGATCAGCTCACTGACCGAGTACAGCGCTCAGGTGGCGATGAGCTCAGTCCTCCATTCACCGGCACGCGCGGATCTCCGCAGGGAGCGTCGCCGCGGAGCGGGCTCAGGTTGCTGCAGTGCCGCATGCAGTGACCACGCAGCTGGGGCCGGGTGTAACTCACAATTTGCATAAGAAAATTGAGTCGCAAATGACAGGACTTCAGAGCTCGTCAGCCCAACCGCTTTAACTAGACCACGACACACCAAATTCAGGAAATGTGCCTGACTCTGTAGTCCACATAAAATATCTAACCGGCCGCGCGGACAGCGCAGCCTGGGTCTCGTAATAAGTTACAACCACTTAAGTATTTGTCTGTGGGCTCCCCTGTACCAAGGAGCTCTTGTGGTGGCTGAGGTTGGGACTCGGGTCTCTTCTGTCATGGATGGGAACCCCACCTGCCCGGCGGCAGAAGGCTCTGTGCCCGACAGGACGTGGGCTGGCAAGCCCCGGAACCGTGGCGGTGTGGCTGGGGCACTGGACATTTTATTTTATCACAAGCAGCTGTGAGTGTGCTAAGGCCCGTGGCCTCCCAGCAAGGCAGCAGCACTGAGGTGCAGTTCCGGGCGGAGGCGAACGGGTTGTCACTCGGGCCTGGGCTGCGCAGCTGTTACAGGGCCAACCTGCCTTTCTGTGTCCCCAGATTCCATCACGCAGCACAGGGTCTGCGACTTTGAAAGCTACCTGCTGCAAAGGAGCGCCACGCCGGGCTCGAGGCCCTTGCAGACTGGAGAGGAGGCGGCACGGGACCCCAGCTAGCCCCGAGCCGGAGCTGCGGGCTCAGCTCTCTGCGCACGGCGCACGCACGCAGGGACTGGCCAGCCCGACCAGCCCTCGCCCTAGATGCGGCTGTGTGCATCTTCATACTGGCCGCAGTCAAAGCCTCACAGCCCCTTGTCATTCGTCATTATCGCACTGTACTCCCAAATAAAGAGGAAATTCCTGTGGATTGTGTTATCACTGAGAATAGTCGAAGAAGCCCTGAGCTTCCTGGCTCACAGGCAAGTCCCCAGCAGCACGTCGTGTGCCGGGGCGAAGGACTGGGCCTGGGTGTGCAGAGCCTGGCCAGTAAGGGAGCAAGGCCTGTGCTCCGGGAGCTGGGCCAGGGGCAGAACCCCATGGCATCAAGGGGGTATCGTCACCTCCCAGCAGGAGGCAGCTGCCACTGCGACCCCCGAGTGGGTCTGTTCACGTGCAGCGTCTTCTCAGCTGTGGCCCCCACCTCAGGTGAGGTGTTCTCCCAGGGGGCCCCGCGAGAAGCTT